TGGATTATCTTATTAGCCAATAAAAGCTTTGTATTCCTTGCCAAGGTTAGGGTAGAATATCCTTGCGGTACCGTATTACTTATCCTCAAATGAAACAGGCCCTAACTGCCAAAAAAATAACTCTTGGTTTCAGACGGATTCGGTATGATCCAGTATTACCGATATACATGTAACGGGCGCGCCCTATTATAGTCCGGCCTTTATTTTATAGTGCAGACTCAAAAAGTTGTAACGGCTTGTATTCGGGGTACGGACTCTATTAGAGGAAAGCTATTCGTCTACCAGATTGATGTCGTCCAGCGCGTCATCCAGAGCCGAAACATTCAGCAGGTCTGCATTCTCGTCGTCCTTTGATTCCTCCGCCCACTTTTCGCGGAATCTGGCGCCGTAAACGTCGTGCTTGGCGATAAACCAGTCGCTAGGGTCACGCGCAAAGCCTGCCGCTTCAATGGTGTGCATCACAGTCGATTCTTCGGTATCACGCCAAGCACGGCGAACCCATTCACACACAGTGTCAACGCTTTGCCTTCGGGGGTTACCAAAGCGGGTGTAATCCACTTGGTCGGACTCCTTCCAGGCGTTGATCTCCACATAGAGCAAATCCTTGAAGCTCTTGTAGATGCCGATGTCCCCGGCCTGTAAGTAGGGCGTTAGCCCACCGGGTACAGCACATATAGATCTTCCTGGAAGCGCACTTCGCCTTGATCGCCTTCGAAATGTGCGCTCTCATACTGTCCCAAACTAGACATTTCCATTCGTCTTGCGCCACGAGAGGAAAAGCAATATTTATCCACTTCTTGAGCAACTCACTATCCACCCAGGCACGAGGCTGCTGAGCCACGTAAAGAGGTCCTGGTTTATTCTCGAAAGTGGGTTTAGGTTTACCTTTCCTTACTAAAAGCGGAGGAAGCTTTCTTCCAGTTGCGCTGACAGCGAGCACAACAGTAATTTGCATAGAAGAGAACCCAGTAGAGCGAACCACGACGTGTCGAGCACCGACAAAGTCCAGCAAGGTCTGTCGAGCGTCTTCGAAATACACGGCCGTCTCATCCATGAGAACAGTCCTTTCTAAGTCGATGGAAGGTAGCTGAGCTTGTAGAAACACCATGTAGCGGACGGCTCGGTCCACAAGGGTCTCGTCGCCAAGGACCGTCAGGTTTGTCCGGCGGCGCAGCGATATCTCGAAGCGACGCATAAAGTTCGAGACCCAGTGATCGGATGCTGTAAATGGCGGCGATGCTTCTCGCCCTTCAGCTTCATCCGCGTACAGAACGAGTGCTATATCGGCCAGCCAGCTGCGCGTTACCTTCTCCTTCTGGTGCGCTTGGTCACAAATTCCTTATAGAGCAGCTCTTCCAGTGTCTCCGACAAGGGCTTGCGGCCTCCGCCAGCTACACGAGCTTGGTGTGGTGCAGCAGCGCGAATTTTATCGCGCAGTCGCCACCAGCGGCGCACTGCACCACCATCGACACTCCACCCCTGGGACCGAAAGTGCGCAACGGCTCGAGTGAGGACGCCTTCTCCCGCCGTCTCGATCCACTGAATCACCTCTTGCTTTCGGCCAATGCTCACTGCCTGCCGCTGCCCGCTCATTTTCCACAATGAAGATGCCACTAGCGTGCAGCGGTGAGACTGACAAATATGACTGGACAGCGATCTGCGTCGTTCTATTCGGGAGGGGATTCAATTTTTTAAAGCCGGTAGATAGGTCAATTGAGGGCATTATTCGGGAGGGAGCTTTTATTCGGGCGCGTCCGTTATTAGGTTCACGTGTCCTTTCGCATATTTTACTGAGCCCAAAATGTGAAACTTCAACCCTTGGGCTCACTGTTTTAAAAAAGCAAATGTCCAATAGCTGAGAACCGGTTCTTGCTCTTTCGCATTTAAAAACGAGCCCAAAAATTCCTCCTGATTCTTAGGGGTTCTGAGTAATTATCAGAGCCGTGGTTCTGGTTCGGTTCTTTTTAGAGCAGGAACGACTTGACATAAACGCCGTTAGCAGCGCTCAATACGTCCGATCGTTTTCATTGAAATTCCTGGGCCTTGAAAAGCCAACTCTGCGCTCGCAATCTTAACTCGCTCCATGGGTGGTTTGTCTTCCGTGTCGCGGTTTTCATCCGAGCGCTTCCGAATCACCACCGGCACGTGGATGTGTTTTATGGATGGCAGTCGCATATTGATCTTTTCAAAAAACCAATACTGCAAAGTCATCGAGGCATTTATCTGCTCTCCATTCATCAGCATCTGAATGTCAGAGGGAGCATATCCTTTTTCCAACTTCAGAGCTGAATAGCATTCGTCTGACAGCCATGCCTCACCCTTCTCTTCGTTTTTCTCATCGCCAGGCTTTCAGCTCCATGACATCGACGATCCCGATCTTCTCCTTGATCGCACCACACTTGCTTCCACACTTGCTTGCTGTTCTTGATCTCCACACCGAACTTGCTTTCTGCCTTACCAACAATTGTACTAACGAGCGAAAGTTTGACCATCTTTCCTCAACACTAGATTCTCGAATGAGCATTAAGGTACTTATCGTACTTAATGTGTGGCCTTTTCATGAAATTTATTTCAGCCAGAGTTTTTGGTCATCATTCAACACTAATTCACGGGAATTGTTACAAATGAAAGGTGTGATCAATAATTTTATAAATGTTTCCTGTACCTGGGTTAGATTAATAAACTGCACAAAATATCCTCGCCCGTCTAATGAATTTGAATTTGCTGCGGGTTAGTCGGCTAACTACACCCGATGGTGGTGGCCTGACATCAGCGTAAGTCTTTAAAGAAGCGATAATATCATGTTGTCAACTAGCTCACAAATTAAATATGTTTTCCGCAGCATTGTTCAGTGCGCAATATCACGACTTTTTCTGTGATTCACTACTGGCGCTCATGTTGTCTACATCCAATATGTAGCCGCAGGAGATGCTATGAAGGTCTAGCTTAACCCTGAAAACTCTGTAAATCTCTGGTTTTGAGCTTACAGCTTCAAACTCCCGCCCGGGCTGAAATATGCTGAAAAGTCGACCAAGTGCTGCAATATGGCTGTGCTTTGATGCTGAAAAAAACAGCATTTCACCAAGAAGCACCACAGTTCCCCTGCCGTGAAAATAATTATCAAATTCTATTTTTTCTCAATTTGCGCTACATATAAAAGAACATTGAGTACTAAGGATCTAAATTCTAGTGTTGTTGGGAGAGATCAGCGGAAACTACAACATGTCTGCATGGGAGGCGCCTTGCACATAATATCAGCTTCGCACGACTTTTTTAAATATTATATTTAAGAAAAAAGGATCGCAGCTGTCAATACAAGTATTTTGTAAGCTCGTTTGACAGAAGCACAAAACATATGATAAACTTCAACTTGATCTTAGCGCGGTACATTGTAATATATAACTCCTCAGTCTGAGCTCATGTGCTTTGTCAGAACACAGCAAGCATGTGGGTCCTCGGCGAATTCTCCGATCGCAGCACCGTCGCAACAACAGCAGTATTGAGATGTCGACTCGAGAGTTCTCAGGCTTAGAATCTTAGCGTAAGGCTGACAAATGTATTGCTGCCTTGTCGCTTGGTAAGCTTTCTCCTCATCCTTCTGTCGACGTTGCTGTGGATCAACTGTCTGCTCCTAGAGCGGAACACGTAAGCCAGACGCTCGCTGCGCCTCGCCCAAATCGGCCGCGAATGGAACCTCGAGAAGGAAGATCCGTCACTACTCAATTGGGTTCCATTTGCCCAGACCACTCTAACAACAGTCGGGTCAACCTCACAACCAACCACTACGACAAGCAACCAAAGCAGCCTAAACATGAATATAGACAGTAACAATACCAACGACGTGACCTTCGCCACCGTGCCTCGCTTCGTGCGTACCGTCTACGACATGCTCCAGAACGAAGACCAGCGCATTCTATCCTGGTCGGCCGACGGATCTCACTTCCAGGTCTACGACGTGCCGAGACTGGAGACCGAGGTGCTGCGCAAGTATTTCAAGCACGGCAAGTTCTCCAGCTTCCAACGCCAGCTCAACAACTTCGGGTTCCACAAGTGGACCAAGACGCGCGCTAGTGTCGCTACCTTCAGTCACGAGGTGCTCGTGCGGTGTCACACGTCCCAGCTCGCCGGCATGGTGGGCCAGATGAAGCTCAAAGCGAAGGCTGGGGCTGTGATGACATCGGCTCCGGTGAAGCCAACGACGTCGATGAAGCGACCTCGGAATCTTCTGGAGTTCACCACCGAGCTCACCACTTCAGCCAAGAAGCACAAGATGTCACCGCGCGACGTGTGCGCCATCGACGAGCTGTCGGACGTATGCTCCGCGTCATTCGTGGATCCGCTGTGGTTAATGGAGGACGCCACCTTCGGCTTCAATGACGGCCTTCTGCTGCTTAACGTACTTGATTCTGTTGATCTGGAGACTCTGGACTGGGATGGTGGCTTTGTCTCGTTAGTCGACGAGCTGGCTTGCATCAGCAACATTGGCAACGGCAGCAGCTGCATCAATGTCGATGACGTCTTGGACTGCTGCTTCGAGCTTGACAGCACGGTATCGACCAGCATGCTGACCGAGTTCGATGTGTCTGCCATTCTTGGTGACATTGAGACCGACCAAGTGCTCTTTAACTGCGAGATCGACGCTCTGCTCGGAGATATCAATGACGTTAATACCGACGTGGACACCTTATCGTTCTTATAGTTCAAGTGCTGTCATTACCCAAGTCCAATGTATAGCTTAATGTTACTTGTCGTTGTATGTAGCCGAAAGCCGTTTACTCGGCACTAAATCCATCCACATTAAATACAATGATTCCGCGCCACTGCCATAAAGTTCCAGATTTCAGAGTACCGGTACATGTATCCTCATCAACGATAAGGCGTCAAGGAAACGACTAAAAGTCTTCAATCTCTTCACATTACGCACGCTTGATATTAAGTACGACCACCAAACTTTTGCATGAGCTTGGACCCCTTTGGGATGTTCTTGGGGAAACGTCCTCCTAGTCGACTGCCCTTACTCGACTCTGACGAGTCTGTACTTGCCGTAGAGCCCTAAAACACACAAAACACCGTCAGAAAAACGAGCGGGAACACAAAAACACACGCAAAGACGGCCGCACCTGTCGTGCCCGTTTGAGGTGGTCCTGATTCATGCTGCCGAGACGCGATCCCAGCCCACCTCGAGCCGACATGAGGCCATGATCGTGCTCGTTCTTTTTGCGCTTTATGCCGTGCTGTTCCTGCTGCCGCCGTCGCTTGTGGTCCTCCTGACTCTCAGTCAGCGTTGTCTGCCATAACGCGGCCCACTCGCGTTTAACTTTGGCCATGTCCTTTCCTTCGTCGTGGAACAGCGCCATGATCGCGCGGAAGTCCTTTCTCTTCCTGGGCTTCGGCTGGTTGGGATTGTTAAGCGTCGGCTTCTTTCTCTTGAGGTCGTCTTGCGGTGGAGGAGGTGGCGGAGGAGGCGGCGGCAGCGGCGACTCGGCCATAATTTCCTTATTGCTCTTTGAACTAGAATACCGGTATTAATAGAGCAAACTGGCGGGGAGGACTAAAGCAACACACACCAAAAATTGTGCATACTTTTTTGTGACAGAATTTGGCAAATTTTAGCTTACCGGTAATTAGACAAAAGATTTGAAGTTTTGTGATTGGTCGTTGGGCCGATCTACATGTCCATACGAAAAATCCGAAAACGGTTTAACTTTCCCGACTGGCCCACAATTGAATTGAAGTCATGTCGTTCCTGCGCTTGTCGTCGCTCTCCCGCTCGCGGTCGCTGCTGCAGACACGGTGTCTGTCTACTCACGGTCATCCGTTCGTGTTCGATTCGCGCCATGAGTATATGGACTACCTCGAGGCGCACCAGAGCCGCCTGCCCTGGGGTTTCTCCGTGGCCACCACCAAGTTCGATTTCGTGCCACAAGAGGCGCCCCACCTGCCAGCCAAGATGACCATGACACTCATTAAACCCGTCAAACCCACGTCTCTCTTCGCTGCTGTGTTCACACAGAATGCCTTCCCCGGTGCCCCTGTCCTTGTGGGTCGCAAGCGCTTGAACGAGCCAAAACTCGGCGCCATCCTCGTCAACAGCAAAATTTCCAACGTCTGCGCCAGTGGTGGTGGCGTGGCTGATGCCGAAGAAGTCTGCGAGAATCTAGCCAAGCACCTTAGACTGGAGGGAGGCTCTCAGGTGTTGCCCTGCTCCACGGGCGTCATCGGATGGCGCATCCCGGTAGACTCTATGGTCGAGAACCTCCCCAAGCTCGTCACCAACCTGCAGTCCGAGTCCGTTCTACCTGCTGCCGAGGGGATTATGACCACTGGTAGGGCTGCAACTAATGTGTATAATTTCTTACAGTTAAGAGCTTATAAAACCCATGTTCTACCTTAGATTTATACCCGAAGATCCGCTCCATGGACGTGTGTGGCGGTCGCATCGTCGGCATTGCCAAGGGTGCCGGTATGATTGAACCCAACATGGCGACGATGCTGTCCTACATCCTCACCGGTGCGTGCTGGCAACGTGAATTGATATCAGTTCTCACAGTAGACTCACAATTATTGCTGCAGATCTGTCGATCCCGCGTGACGTCTTGCGTCAACTACTGACGGAGGTGGTTGGAGACACGTACAACTCACTGAGTGTGGACACGGACCAGAGCACGTCCGACACGGTGACGCTCGTTTCGTCGGACCAGATCCCGTTCGACATGAAGCAGCTGGACGAGTTCAAGACGGCGCTGCACGAGGTGTGTCTGGGGCTGAGCGAGGACATTGTACGCAACGGTGAAGGTGCGCACCACGTGATGCGTGTGCGTGTGAGCGGCGCGCTGTCCAACGAGATGGCGAAGGGTGTCGGCAAGTCGGTGGTCAACTCGCCTCTGCTCAAGTGTGCGGTGGCTGGCAACGACCCCAATGTGGGCCGCCTCGTCATGGCTGTGGGCAAGTACATGGGAACGTACCACAAGGACGTGAACATTCAGCGTCGCATGAAGATCCGGATGGGCGGCGTTGTCATCTTCGAGAACGGCGAGATGGTGCTCAACGACGACATTGAGGCCAAGCTGGTGGCCCACATGCGCGACGCAATGCTGATTGAACCCACGCGTGGTGGACTGGACGCCAGCTCGCACAACTACCCGCCGCACGGGAAGTTTGTCGAGGTAAGCGTTGACGTAACGATGTTTATTGCGTGAGGTGCTAACAGGTTGTTTGATTTATTATTGCAGATTGAGATCGACCTGGGTGTTGGCTCCAAGGAGACGCAGGTGCTGGGCATCGACCTGACGCACGAGTACGTGGCCATTAATGCTGACTACCGCTCGTAGATTGAGCGTCACATTTTCGTCATAAACTCGACTCGAATGATATGACTGTCAATAAGGTCGGACGAAGGACTATTCTAATACACCCGGTGACTTCTTTACATCCGATTAATTGTACAAATTGTTTTTTATTAGTGCTTTTTTGATAAAAATTATTGTATCTCGTGACGGAAGAACCCAATCATGAGCTGCATTCGACGCTTCACTTTGTCAGGATCAGCGAATGCTTGTCGTAGAACAGTCTCCAGACGCTCCTTATCGATCCCACGAAGGAAAGATCTGAAGCCTTCTCGTGTCTTGAGTTGACCTTGTCTCTCTCGCACCAACTGAACGAGGTGGCGATCACTCTCATGATTTCCAGGACCAAGTGTCAATTTCTGATTGAGTTGCAGCCGAGTTGGCGAGTTTTGCTGGTTGCAACTGGTGTTTGCGGTGTCGACACTTGTGGCTTCCTTTGTTACTCGAATGTTACGCGGTGACAGACAACTCGGAAGACCTGCAACACTTAAGTTGACGAAGTCTTCTGCGTCGTCTTCCAGTTCGTCTCGCCACTTTTCGATCGCATTCAGACTTTCAGCCACATTAAAGAACGCAGTCTTGGGTACTAGCGTCGGACTACCGAGTTCCGATACCACGGCTGGACACACGCTTGATCTGTTATAGCACGAAACAAGGAGAGAAAGTATGTTATCTACTATGGATATAGTCCTGTCATAGACGCTGATGCCACCGCACCAGATACAAAAAAATACTCACGGGATACTTACTCATCGTCGTCGCTGGAATCCTCGTTCTCCTCTTGTCTTTGGGAGCGTCTAAGTTGCTGTTTACTGCTCAGCGAAGTCGGTAGATGGCGCTTAGCAGTTGAGATGTCCACTGTAGGGGAGAGCACGTCCAGATTCCAGTCATGCTGACGTCCCAGAGCCTTCGTGTAGCTGGCTATTGACGTCTTGATTGGAGAACATGGTCGCTTCGTGTCATCGCTGCCATCTAAGATGAGGATGTCGACAGTAGACGTACCGGAGGACAGCCCACGACACTTTGAAGACCCCCCTCGCGACCTTGGTCTCGGTGGGACTCGTGCAGGCTCAACAAACGCTTCTCGGACGTTGACTCCATTTCGCAATACTCCAGCTGACGTGTTGGGTCGACGTTCCAGCCGAGCAACAATTGCTGCCCCATTTCCAGTGACGCCGTCGATGCTTCCTTTTCGTCGACATCTGCTGCGATTAGCTGTGGTGTCTTCGAGGTAGAGCGCTTTGTTGGTGTCACGGGGAACTCCGATTTGCGACGTACCGACACTATCTAGCTGCCAGGTTTTCAGCTCGTCCAAGATGGCGTCGCGAGACTTGTGCTTGTGGGTGTCAAGCTCTCGAGCTCGGTCAAGTGTGTCGGTGATGGAGATTCGTTGTGCTGGCGTCTTCGGGCGTTCCGGTAGTCCATGACTCGATGAAGGGCGTGTATTAACAGAGCTTGCAGAGTCCTCAGAACTGCCTCCCGTATGTTTGTAGAGATCGCGATTTGATCCCGTTGCCTCGTGTCGGTGTCGACGAAGCGCACTCGAGACGTTTCCGGCGAACACGATGTCGGTTCCATGAGTGAGGCGGCTACCGGAGTCGTCAGCACGAGGAGAATCCACTGGAAGTCCGTTCGATGAAAGCTGACGAGGACTTCTGAGCTCATTCGGCACCATCGGGTCAGAAGCTGATACATCGGTGTGAAGCCGATCTTGATGATTGCAGATGGCAGCGTCGATTTCTGAGTCCGACAACTTGACTCTCTCGCTGTCCGACAGTGCCTCGTCATCCAACGACACCAGTTGTGGCACGAAATTGGCAACAATCTGACGGTAGTGTTTGACGGTCTCAACTGAGTTCCCCGTTAGGTTAAGCGACATGAGCTGCGGACAGAACGCTGAAGCACGAGTTGTTAGTTATTGAAGATACCGAGTGGTGATACTGTTGACTGATCTTACCGAGTTGTTCGATCTGACCAATATCCGTGATTCGATTCCCTTCGAGGTCTGAAGCACAGTACAATGAGGTAAACGGTACGCCCCACCATCATTCAACAGCTTTAGACAAGCCGTACCAATCACACGAAGCTCCTCATGCATCGTCAGTGGGCTGATGTCGCTCACTTTGTTGTGCTGTAGATACAGCTCTTGCAAGTTCATGAGTGCTCCGATGCCGTCGAGATCGGAGATCTGGCAGTGCATCGCCCAAAGAACTCGCAATGATCGAAGCGATGTACCCAGATCCCGAAAGCTACTGAGGTTGCTCTGCTGCAACCGTAGTTGTTGCAGAGACGGCAAGAGTTCTCCTATAACTTCAACCGATTGTTTCGTCGAGTCGATCGATATCTGCAGTGAAGTGACGCGCTCGAGGTCATGACTCCCTGTCAATTGTATCTACACCACCGAGCATAAAAACATAAGGAACTAGGTCGAAAAGAGTTATCACGCAGGCCTCCAACTCACTAGCTTGTCCTCCGTGATGTCATCGAATGGATTATCGAGTTGCAAAGTCTCCAGTTCTGTTTCTTGCTTTTTGGGCTGGTTTATTATTGGGGACAGCAACCCCGATGCACTGGCACCCAATCCACCGGTAGGAACGGGCGTTGGGTTGCAATCCCTCGGCAGCGTTCGGATGAGAAAACTTGTCTTGATGTCGGCAGGCTTTGGTGTCGGCTTCAGCTTCATGGTCGTGGAGGTAACAATCACATTCTCGTCCATTTCGTGGCGTAGATCACCCAGCACGACAGCGCTCATGGTTCCAACGCAGAGTCACCTTTTCCAAGTGCCACACTAACCAGACCTCGTCCTCCCCAACGCATCCGCTATTAATATCTCCAAACCCAAAGCACAACTGGCAACACGCATGCAATAGTTTTTGATCAATGTTAGAGGTACCGAGTAGCTCGTACTTAAGCGAATGTTAGGGTTACACTGTGTGAGTGACTCGAGCCACTTCGTGTTAATTGGTCCCGAGATACATGTACATGTACGTACTAAAGGTACTACGCGAAAATATATTACGGTAATTTAATTTTAACAGATAAAAAAATTCATCATTTTTAGAGATATCGGTGCTTGCGACGACAGCCAGTCACGCGACTGGTAGCATGAGGTGTTGCTGTAATGTAACTGGAATGCATGAATGTCACCCGAAGGTACGAAGCACTTAGTGAGAATTTGCCTGACGAGTACTGCTAGAGTAGAGCAGACCATGACCAGTATCTTTCACTTTACGCAGCTCAACAGTATCACCGCAGCACGCACACATTGGAATCAACAGACAGAGGCATCACAATGCGAGCTACAGGGGTACATTATCTTCATGTTATCGACTTCCTAACTCGCCTGCTGCAGGCACTTTAACATGTACCGAAGCCTGAAAAAACGCATTGAGGCATGGCTGAGCTTTTTCGGCATATCGATGCCGGTGAGGTAGCACTCAAAGAATAGTAAAACAGCTGCTCCACAGCTTGAGAAGTCCGGCTGGCGTACATTCGTGACTCTCTGAATCGGCAAGGGTATGGAGCTGTCTTCACCTTCTAAAAACACGTCTTTCAGTAGTTCTTCGCATTTGGCGTAATATTTTGACTTGGGGTCTTGCAAGGGGTCGAACACCAGGACTTCTCGACGTTCGCTGCGATAATCGAAAACTGCTCCACACCAGTGGTTGTTGTCTATGTGTAGCGGCAACAGAATGATCTGATTCGTTTTCTTGAAAGGCTTGCCTGTATTTATAGCCCTGAGCCGGACGACTTTATCGTGGAAACGATTGAAGATCGGGTTAACGATGCCATTATCCGGGTGTTCTCGTTGAAGTAGAGCAATCCCATGCCCCATGCATGAATCATCCATCCACATATTTTCTCGAAGCGTTAGTAGTCCGTTATAGGGCACACTCCCGAACGAAGTCTCGCGGCCACCCTTCAGAAGAATCCGCCTGATAATAACTTCCCGTTCTGTCGGATCGCTGCTGACTCCGTCATCAATCTTTACCGGTAGAGACAAGCGCTTGACGCTAGTGTTGACAGCCCAAGTAATCGCATCTTCAGTGGCAGATAAATACTGCATGGAGGCGTGCCATCGGTCCATCGCGACAATGTCCTGGTATTGGAATATCCCAAAGCGAGGAACTCTTACACCAATAGTGTCGTCATCGACAGTTTCAATCAAGCCTTTTCGAAACGCTGCGACCGCAGCCAGGCATTTTTCCACAAATTGTTTTGGAAACACAAATCTGACGTCACAGATGCACTCATCCTCAAGATAAATACCAGCATTCGCCTTCTTGGTCTTTGGAACAGCTCGAATAGTGAGATTGGGTAGCACCTTCTTGGCGTCTTCATAGGTGTAGTTGTTGTCCAACAGTTTAGCAATGTTCCGTACGCTTGGAACTGGTGCCAGCGTCCCTTGTATCAACTTGGAAGCCTTCTTCTTGCTATTCTCGATCCTCTGCTTCTTTTCTGCTTTTCCTTGCTTCTTTCTGACCTGGGGACGTCCCCGACTTTTTGCGCTCTTTGTTATCACAAATGACCCAGACTGAGAGGATTCTGACGAACTGCTGCTAATGTGCTGGCGCTTGAACTGGCTTGGGTTTTGTTTAAAATCAGACATACTTGCTGCATCCACCTCTGGGGTGGTTAAAGTCACACAGGAATTGCCTCTAGTTACACACAGTGGTTCTTGTGTAGCAGGATGGGTCAAAGTCACGTGGGAAGTACCTCTAGTCGCACACGGTGTAGCTGTAGGCTCTTGCATTGTAGCTGTAGCACATTGCATTGTAGCTAGAGGTGCGCTCTGTTGAGTCGGAGGTTCGTCATCGTCCGAGTTCGCTGTGGAAGTGTTCTTGTTTTTTTCTTCATCTTCCGTATCCTTTTCATCACAGCATCCTTTGGTTCAACAGCATTGGTATTTAACGTAGGCGAAAATGTCAGCGACGATAGCTGTGAAAGCGGGTCGACCCATTCACCTTCTCGACCAACAAATGGTGCAACATCGTCCTTGATAATGTCTTCAAATTTCTCCAAGGCGTTCATCATTTCTCCAAATACAAACGTTCCGTTCCTGCTCATAATGTCTGCAATACTCTTTCCACACTCGAGAGCGTGCTTGTACTTCGTCGTACCATTTAAAACGTGATGGCGCCTTGCTGTCATAGCAGAGTCACGGACTTGGAAGGCTGTGCACGCAGCTGTTCTGTCTGGTACGTCTTCTTCTGGCGCAGGTTGATTGAGCTTGCACGACAACCTCCAACGGGGTGCATTGTACCGAATAGGAATTGCCTGTTTTCCACGTAAAAGACGCCAATACATGACGTGCCGGCATGGAAGCAACATCGTCTTCATGAATACACATAAGCAGTGATATCTCTAAAGGCACGCAATAACAGCGACGTACGTTAGGGTTTACACGGGCCAGAACGGGTGACAAACTTACCGTAGTGTCGACATGATAGCATGTACTGGTGTGGCCACCTCCGGTCAGGACAAACAGGCTGGAATGTATTTCCTCCACGCCGTAACTTGTCTTGCGATCCTTAGACGCCCAATACTGCTCTTCAACAAGCCGGTACGCATACGGGCTGACTTCGCGCGCTAGCTGTTCAAGCTCGTGATCTGCACCATCATAACGCATCTGGCCCACGTCTGTGATTTTCTTTCCGTACTCCATCTTTGCTACTGCTTGCAAGAACATCAGCGTATCTACGCACTCATCCAGCGCCATCTCCGGCTTCAGAACCTCTTTGATATGACCCCATGATGTTCCAAGCCTACAGATCACCAAACCACCAGGCAAAAACACAGTTAAAGGTGAGTCTAGAACCTATAGCGCAAGAAATTGTACCTATTATTGGTGTGGTTGCCTAGATGTGGAACATCCGAACGTGCGTACAGCGCCCATCGTTCTTTTATCGAATCCCAGTTCTTCATGAAGTACTTCAAAAATGGATGCGTAGGCACAGGTACAGGGTCTTCACGTTTAAGACGAACACCTTCCAGCAAGAAGTATAGATACTTCAGAAACTTAACGTACTCATCCGTAGAAACCGCCAGCCGCATCATATCGATAGCATCTTCAACTTGGTCTTTGTCGAAGCTGGACGGGCCTCCATACTCGCTCTTTGCCAGCTCGGTCCGAATATACTTCTTCAAATGGAAGTGACACAGAATCACTTTCACGCCAGGGAACTCCATTTCTAGTAATCCCAATTCACCCATGTCCTTGTCAATCACAATTACCCTGACTTGCTCCCACGAAGAGTTGTTAAACTTGAACGACCCGATAGCATCTGAAATACACTCTGCACTTTCGTTCTCCATGAGACTGTGATGTACGTATTGACCCTAGCATTACGTTAACAACTCATAAGTAAGAATTTGTACATATCAAGTACATGTTGTAGCTGAAGCTACGCAAACAGTAAAAGTGTAACTAGAGGCGCATAGGATGTAACGTCAGGTACATTTACTTACATGTCCGTACACATCGTTAACCATGAGCGAGAAGAGCTTGTAGCGCGATTCGTTGGTGTTATGCGTCGCGTCAATGAGCATCACTTCAGGAAAAGCCTTGAACCAGCGTCGCATTTGTCTCGTCTGCAACGCGATGGTCTGTGCAGTTTTGGATTCGTCGACGTAAACGGTTGCTCGGTTTCCACGACATTCGCAAATCCCTCGCAAGACAGTCTCCAGCCGTTCTTCAGTAGTCGCACCTCCCCTTCGTCTCTCCTTCATCCTCGCCACCATGTTGTGTACATCTCGAAGCACCACATTTTTTCCTACATGGAGTCCAAAACAAGAATGCTATCAGTCACTATATATAATTCTGGGTTGAGTTAAGCGCACCCACCTGTCTTCTTTCGCAGGAACTGCATAATTAGCTTCGGCTTAGAACCAGCAGCTTGGAGTTCATCCACGAATGCCAGTATGTCCGGATCCTCCACGCGACGGTTCGACACATGGTTCTCAAATGTAGCGCGAAACACATTGTGGTTGTGTCTGACGTCAAAGTCAGTGACGCGTACCATGAACGTGTCGTGTTCATCGTTCCATACGACAGCAGCCTTAATGTTTGCCTTACAGCCTGTAGTCTTTTTGAGAAACGACCTTCGTATCCCCTTTCCACGGCTCTTGCGCTTCCACCCGTGAGTGCAGACCAGCTTAATCCAGAAATTTCCGAACTCCTCAGGGATCAATTGATCCGACGTCTCATCAGTAACTGTGTTAGTCGTGCCGGAATCATCTGGGTCCTTCGCATTAACACTCAGGTTTGCTCGCGCCTTAATTTCTCGATTTCTCTTTTGAACCGACGTGGACGTGCGCTGTGGAAAGATCTGGTGTGTCTCCTCCTGGTAGCGCTCCATGTATTTGCGGAAGGCATCCCAGCTCTCATGCCACTCGACATCAACTGGGGGACAGAGCCACGAGACCCCAGGAGGGACTTGCCGCTCGGGTTCACTGTCGCTCATTCTGATTGCACACATGAGAACCACAGAATACGCTCTTAGCTTACCTCCCCCCCTCTAATCTACATGAACATGCATGCTTACCTTCAGAGCTGTCGTGTGTCTTCGTCTCGTATTAGAGTTTAGGAGGGGCGCGTGGCTGATGTAGTGCGCGGGATTTTTTTGGAATGAAAGGCTCATAGATATTGGGGATGGGAGAAAAGGGGGAGAGGGGGTGTCTTTTTCAGAAATCTTGTTTTTCAGAACTGAGTTGAAATTTACCTCGGACAGTATTTTATCGTCAAAATTACGAAGGTCCTACTGTAATGTTTCGTGTAAGTACTATTTTACTCGGTGCCGCTAACCAGTTCCATATTTTTTTATCTAATAAATGTAGCCATCCTTGCGTACCAGTATATCGGTACATTATTGGCAAAGAAAGTGGTGGAGGACAAGAAGTCGCCGGCCATGACGCCGTCTATCGCCGCTGCCAGAGCTGCACGCGAGTCGAAAGCTGAGCCTGACGTTCATGGGAAACCGTCGTACGTCTTTCTGCGTATAAAGCGCAAGCGCACCGACGACCCGATGGAGTGTTTGGTGGTGCACAGTGAGCCGGACTCGAAGCGTTCCAAGACGGACCTGGTACAGGCTTTTACGAATCTGTCGACCACTGAGAAGCGGTTCGTGTTCAAGCACATCGACACAATGGAGGAGCCCATCACTCCAGGTCGCGTCAAGTGGACAGAGCGACTCAAACGCAAGGCACGCTCGCTCAAAGATGAACGCGCCGACATGTTGGCCAAGAAGCAGCTCGTCCCAGTGTTCCAGACAGACCCCACGGCCTCCAAACAGACCGAAAAGCGTGTGAAACAACAGCAAAGTCGCTCTAAAGCACGTCGGAAAGAGGAAATGCTCAAGTCCAGAGGACTAGAACCTATTATGGAGATCAAGGAGAAGCAGACGATGGAACTGCACGGCATCCGACTGGTAGATCTACACGTCGCGACTGCAGCGAGCACAGAGAAGGACACAGAACAGGATATAGTAGAAACGAGCAAGACTGATGTCGTCACGGTCAACGGAGCGAGACTGAAGCCTACGCGTGTACTGAACCCGCACGAGCGCGAGCTGGATGAGGCGATTTGGACGGCGTTCCGAGCCAACAACTTCGCACCATTCTTCCAGATCTACCACGCGCGGCGACCTGAGCTTCGTGTAGACTCGACGTCATTTCAACGCCCAGCAGATGGAAGCTCGATACTTATGGCGGCAGCGCTACACGGACGCAGCGATGTGATCGAAGTGCTGTTGCGCTCGGGTAGTACGAGTGTTCTTCAGCAGGATTATGATGGAGCTACGGCTGCGATGTTCGCCAAGCGTGGAGGCCACATCAATGTGGAGACAGCACTACTTGCCTGTGAAGAAGCAGAGCACGAGAAGGACTACGTGTACGACGTTTACTGTGTTGATATTTCTGCCAGTGAAGGGCAACACGACGCAGCAACTAGAGACGAAGACGATGCAAAGCAAACAAGCGTGAATGGTGTGCCGGTTGTGAGTGTGAGCTCGGAGGTGCATCGGTGGCTGTCAGAAGATATGCCGAGCGAAGACGTGGAGGAATACATGCTCGAGTCCGATATCGATAGCAACGAAGAAGACGGGTACGCATGCTTGTATAGATATCCGTGGCGCCGCTGAGGAACGGGCTTTATGTTAAGACCAAAATGCTCAGAGACGGCGGCTCGGTTGGATTTGTGTTTTTGACGGCTCTTTTTTCTGCCTGTGGCTGGCCTGATCTGTAGATTGAGCGAAGATTCCAATGACGAGGACCACGAGGCCAACGATTATCCAGACGAAGAGTCATCGGACGAGTCGCTGGCGGACAGCGAGGATCTTGACGAGGTATGTACTTGCTTGAGTTGGAGTGTGGTATTAGGGTCATTCGTCTGACGTGTCTTTCGCTCTCGGTAGGTCGGGGCCAGGCGGCGATGGCAGATATCTGAAAACGACTACACGGAGCGGGATGACTCTGATTATTAAATCAATTCAAGTGTGTGTAGAGTGCGACCAGTTTGTCATATAAACATTGATAATTTCTCACCCCGCCTGCGTGCGATTCTTGTGGATGGAATCATAAAGTAGATGCAGTCTTCTCGGACATAACTTTCGTATAGTCTTGTACATTCGCGATATGCAACGGGTCAACATCACTTTTGATCTGGTAGTGCCGAAACGGTGTCAAGGTCACTGGGGACAGCGCACATCACCCAATCGATGCCGCGCAATCGATGTCGAACCACAAGTCCATGTCGGCATCAAAGTCGATGGTACTGCTATGGCTGTTGCTGTAGCTGCTGTCATGGTCACCGTCGCTGACACTGAGTGACGTGGCAACGGTGTCCCAGTCCAGCTCCGCCAGATCAACAGAATCGAGTACACCAAGCTGCAGCAGGTCGTCATTGAAGCCGAAGGTGGCGTCCTCCATTAACCACGGCGAATCCACGAACGACGCGAAGCAGACGTCCAACAGCTCGTCGATGACGCACACGTCGCGCGGTGATATCTTGTGTTTCTTGGCTGAAGTGGTGATCTCGGTGGTGTACCCCAGAAGACTCCGGGGTCGCTTCATCGACGTCGTTGGCATTACCGGTGCCGATGTCATCACAGTCACAGCCTTCTGCTTGAGCTTCATCTGGCCCACCAAGACAGCGAGCTGAGACGGGTGGCACCGCACAAGCACCTCGTGACTGAAGGTGGCGACGCTGGCGCGCGTCTTGGTCAACTTGTGGAACCCGAAGTTATTGAGCTGACGTTGGAAGCTGGAGAACTTGCCGTGCTTGAAGTACTTGCGCAGCACCTCGGTCTCCAGTCTCGGCACGTCGTAGACCTGGAAGTGAGATCCGTCGGCCGACCAGGATATAATGCGCTGGTCTTCGTTCTGGAGCATGTCGTAGACGGTGCGCACGAAGCGAGGCACGGTGGCGAAGGTCACGTCGCTGGTTTTGTTACTGTCTAAATCCATGTTCACGTTGCTTTGGTTGCTTGTCGTAGTGGTTGGTTGTGAGGTTGACCCGGTTGTTGTTAGAGTGTCTGGGCGAGTAAAACCCGATTGAGTAGTGATGGATCTTCCTACTCGAGGTTCTATTCGCGGCAGATTTGGGTAAGACGTAGTGCCGTCGACAGCAGGATGAGGAGAAGCTTGTGCCAAGCTGCGAAGGATAATATTATTTGTCATAGTTTTGCCAGACCCTGCGTCAGATTCGTTAAGAACGCTTGACTAGCGATCTCGCTGCTGCTGTTTCTCCGACCGAGCTGCGAGGGGAGAATTTACCGAGAACGCGCATAGCGCGTGTGTTCTGACAATGCACATGCTTTAGCTTGGGGTTTGAAAACGCGTGCTATAATAACACATGCTAGTTCTATAGTAATTCGTGCAACTGCTTTCGTAGCACCAGGCTGCTTACTATTGGACCAAACTAGGAATAAGTGCTTGAAGTCATCAAGTTGAAGTGTATCAGATGATCCATGTCGAAGGATATGTAGACGAGCTCGCAAAAAAGGACTAGAGACGATCACCGAAAGTGCACGAAATAATACTTCAGCAAAAAGATCTGCAAGAAATACTTGGAACACGATCTTCACTTGATCTTGTTAGACGTCCAAGTATAACGACAGACGTATAACTCATCTCAGTACGGTGCTTTGACGCGGACATCAATCGTATTAGATGCGCCACCAAGCACTTACGTCCAATGAAAGCACGGTTGAAAGCTCACTACGTCAATAATTCAGGTGTCAGTGGATCCATCATTTGAATTACAAGCTACAGACTACGAGCTACGAGCTTCGAGTACTATCTTCCAACGTGCCGGAAGTGTGCAGCAGGTACATGTACACTTTCTGTACTAGTTATGCGAACAGCAAAGAGCTCATATCATCGTTGATACCTAAAGGAGCTGCTTCCCAGTACAAGTTCCGTCTCACAGTCCGTCAGAGACGGAATGGTATCAAGTCCACCGAGGTCAGCGCACAAATCATCCTCGGTCAACACGGCAATCGATGCATCAGAATGGACGTCGAAGCACAAGTCCATGTCGGCATCAAAGGCGATGGTACTGCTATGGCTGTTGCTGTTGTTGTCATTATCACCATTGCAGAAATCAAGTGACGCAGCAAAAGCGTCCCAGTCCAGCTCCGCCAGATCAACAGAATCGACTACACCAAGCAGCAGGTCGTCATTGAAGCCGCAGCTATCGTCCTCCATCAGCCACGGCAGATCCACGAACGACGCGAAGCCGACGTCCGACAGCTCGTCGATGGCGCACACGTCGCGCGGTGACATCTTGTGCTTCTTGGTTAAAGTGGTGATCTCGGTGGTGTACCCCAGAAGATTCCGAGGTCGCTTCATCGACGTTGTTGGCTTCACCGGTGCCGATGTCATCACGGCCACAGCCTTCTGCTTGAGCTTCATCTGGCCCACCAAGACAGCGAGCTGAGACGGGTGGCACCGCACAAGCACCTCGTGACTGAAGGTGGCGACGCTGGCGCGCGTCTTGGTCCACTTGTGGAACCCGAAGTTATTGAGCTGACGTTGGAAGCTGGAGAACTTGCCGTGCTTGAAGTACTTGTGCAGCACCTCGGTCTCCAGTCTCGGCACGTCGTAGACCTGGAAGTGAGATCCGTCGGCCGACCAGGATATAATGCGCTGGTCTTCGTTCTGGAGCATGTCGTAGACGGTGCGCACGAAGCGAGGCACGGTGGCGAAGGTCACGTCGCTGGTTTTGTTACTGTCTAAATTCATGGTCACGTTGCTTTGGTTGATGTTGTAGTGGTTTGTTGTCAGGGTGACCGGACTGTCGTTAGGTGGTCTCTGCGAGTGGAACCCAATTGAGTAGTAACAGATCTTCCTACTCGAGGTTCTATTCGCAGCAGACTTGTGCAAGGCGCAGCCAGGGCCTGGCTTACGTAGTGCCGCGCTGGGAGCAGACAGCTGGTCTGCAGCAACGTCGACAGCAGGACGAGGAGAAGCTTGTGCCTAGCTGCAAATGATAGTATAATCTGTCATACTTTTGCTAGACCCTGCGTCAGATTCGCGAAGAACGATCGACTAGCGATCTTGCTGCTGCTGTATCGACCGAGCTGCTGCTGCTGTATCGACCGAGCTGCTACGGGAGAATTCACCGAGAACGCACGTGGCGCGTGTGTTTTGACAAAGCACATGCTTAAGCTTGGGATTAAAAAAAACGCATGCTACTTTTAAACGGGCTACTTTTATAGTGAATTCGTCTAACTTCTTTCGTAGCACCAGGCTGCTTACTATTGGACCAGACTAGGAATAAGTGCTTGAAGTCATCAAGTTGAAGTGTATCAGATGATCCATGTCGAAGGATATGTAGACGAGCTCGCAAAAAAGGACTAGAGACGATCACCGAAAGTGCACGAAATAATACTTCAGCAAAAAGATCTGCAAGAAATACTTGGAACACGATCTTCACTTGATCTTGTTAGACGTCCAAGTATAACGACAGACGTATAACTCATCTCAGTACGGTGCTTTGACGCGGACATCAATCGTATTAGATGCGCCACCAAGCACTTACGTCCAATGAAAGCACGGTTGAAAGCTCACTACGTCAATAATTCAGGTGTCAGTGGATCCATCATTTGAATTACAAGCTACAGACTACGAGCTACGAGCTTCGAGTACTATCTTCCAACGTGCCGGAAGTGTGCAGCAGGTACATGTACACTTTCTGTACTAGTTATGCGAACAGCAAAGAGCTCATATCATCGTTGATACCTAAAGGAGCTGCTTCCCAGTACAAGTTCCGTCTCACAGTCCGTCAGAGACGGAATGGTATCAAGTCCACCGAGGTCAGCGCACAAATCATCCTCGGTCAACACGGCAATCGATGCATCAGAATGGACGTCGAAGCACAAGTCCATGTCGGCATCAAGGTCGATGGTACTGCTATGGCTGTTGCTGTTGTTGTCATTATCACCATTGCAGAAATCAAGTGACGCAGCAAAGGCGTCCCAGTCCAGCTCCGCCAGATCAACAGAATCGAGTGCACCAAGCAGCACCAGGTCGTCATTGAAGCCGCAGCTATCGTCCTCCATCAGCCACGGCAGATCCACGAACGACGCGAAGCCGACGTCCGACAGCTCGTCGATGGCGCACACGTCGCGCGGTGACATCTTGTGCTTCTTGGTTAAAGTGGTGATCTCGGTGGTGTACCCCAGAAGATTCCGAGGTCGCTTCATCGACGTTGTTGGCTTCACCGGTGCCGATGTCATCACGGCCACAGCCTTCTGCTTGAGCTTCATCTGGCCCACCAAGACAGCGAGCTGAGACGGGTGGCACCGCACAAGCACCTCGTGACTGAAGGTGGCGACGCTGGCGCGCGTCTTGGTCCACTTGTGGAACCCGAAGTTATTGAGCTGACGTTGGAAGCTGGAGAACTTGCCGTGCTTGAAGTACTTGTGCAGCACCTCGGTCTCCAGTCTCGGCACGTCGTAGACCTGGAAGTGAGATCCGTCGGCCGACCAGGATATAATGCGCTGGTCTTCGTTCTGGAGCATGTCGTAGACGGTGCGCACGAAGCGAGGCACGGTGGCGAAGGTCACGTCGCTGGTTTTGTTACTGTCTAAATCCATGTTCACGTTGCTTTGGTTGCTTGTCGTAGTGGTTGGTTGTGAGGTTGACCCGGTTGTTGTTAGAGTGTCTGGGCGAGTAAAACCCAATTGAGTAGTGATGGATCTTCCTACTCGAGGTTCTATTCGCGGCAGATTTGGGTAAGACGTAGTGCCGTCGACAGCAGGATGAGGAGAAGCTTGTGCCAAGCTGCGAAGGATAATATTATTTGTCATAGTTTTGCCAGACCCTGCGTCAGATTCGTTAAGAACGCTCGACTAGCGATCTCGCTGCTGCTGTTTCTCCGACCGAGCTGCGAGGGGAGAATTTACCGAGAACGCGCATAGCGCGTGTGTTCTGACAATGCACATGCTTTAGCTTGGGGTTTGAAAACGCGTGCTATAATAACACATGCTAGTTCTATAGTAATTCGTGCAACTGCTTTCGTAGCACCAGGCTGCTTACTATTGGACCAAACTAGGAATAAGTGCTTGAAGTCATCAAGTTGAAGTGTATCAGATGATCCATGTCGAAGGATATGTAGACGAGCTCGCAAAAAAGGACTAGAGACGATCACCGAAAGTGCACGAAATAATACTTCAGCAAAAAGATCTGCAAGAAATACTTGGAACACGATCTTCACTTGATCTTGTTAGACGTCCAAGTATAACGACGAACGTATAACTCATCTCAGTACGGTGCTTTGACGCGGACATCAATCGTATTAGATGCGCCACCAAGCACCTTACGCTCCCAATGTAAAGCACGCGTTGAAAGCTCACTACGTCAATAATTCAGGTGTCAGTGGATCCATCATTTAATTTACAAGCTACAGACTACGAGCTACGAGCTTCGAGTACTATCTTCCAACGTGCCGGAAGTGTGCAGCAGGTACATGTACACTTTCTGTACTAATTATGCGAACAGCAAAGAGCTCATATCATCGTTGATACCGAAATCATCGCTGGAGCTGCTTCCCAGTACAAGTTCCGTCTCACAGTCCGTCAGAGACGGAATGGTATCAAGTCCACCGAGGTCAGCGCACAAATCATCCTCGGTCAACACGGCAATCGATGCATCAGAATGGACGTCGAAGCACAAGTCCATGTCGGCATCAAAGGCGATGGTACTGCTATGGCTGTTGCTGTTGTTGTCATTATCACCATTGCAGAAATCAAGTGACGCAGCAAAGGCGTCCCAGTCCAGCTCCGCCAGATCAACAGAATCGAGTGCACCAAGCAGCACCAGGTCGTCATTGAAGCCGCAGCTATCGTCCTCCATCAGCCACGGCAGATCCACGAACGACGCGAAGCCGACGTCCGACAGCTCGTCGATGGCGCACACGTCGCGCGGTGACATCTTGTGCTTCTTGGTTAAAGTGGTGATCTCGGTGGTGTACCCCAGAAGATTCCGAGGTCGCTTCATCGACGTTGTTGGCTTCACCGGTGCCGATGTCATCACGGCCACAGCCTTCTGCTTGAGCTTCATCTGGCCCACCAAGACAGCGAGCTGAGACGGGTGGCACCGCACAAGCACCTCGTGACTGAAGGTGGCGACGCTGCCGCGCGTCTTGGTCCACTTGTGGAACCCGAAGTTATTGAGCTGACGTTGGAAGCTGGAGAACTTGCCGTGCTTGAAGTACTTGCGCAGCACCTCGGTCTCCAGTCTCGGCACGTCGTAGACCTGGAAGTGAGATCCGTCGGCCGACCAGGATATAATGCGCTGGTCTTCGTTCTGGAGCATGTCGTAGACGGTGCGCACGAAGCGAGGCACGGTGGTATTGTCGACGTTTGTGGACTTATTTCGCGTGCTCATAGTCGTGTTCGCTTACTGAAGGAATCTGGGTCAGTTTGAAAATCTTGGAGTGGTTCGAGCCAATGTAATTTTGCATGTGTGGTCGTCGAATGAAAGCTGTGCGGGAAACACAGGACACGGGCCGCACAGGTTGCAATATGTTTTAATAAAGGATGGGAAAGGTTCTTACCAAACGTTGAGCCGGTCAGATGGTGACATGCTGGTATGCGGCACAGCTCGTGATAAGCATTTGACTGTTAATTTATTCGGTGGGTTGGTGCTTATATGCACAAGTAAATGATACCATGATACCACAGCAACAACACACATTCGCAACTAATCGTTGTTGCTGAGGTTATCTGGCAGAGCAGATAGTAATTAGTTACCCATTCGTAAGTCAACAGTTTCTTGCAGCTTGTCGAAAATGGAAAGTGAAGCCATTTTCAAAAACGTAGAAGCACCTGTGCGATCATCAAGACGACACTTCAATGCCAAGTACCTGTCAACTCCAGTAGACACCTTATGATCTTGTTGAGGCGCTTGCAGCTGCGTTTTCTGCGCATTTTAACACCAGGTTGATGCTAGGACTAAATGTTTGTACAACGAAGCCCGTCGCAAAAAAATCTTCTGTGTATGTTCTCAACATAAATATAGCAGACGATATCACTGAGAAGGTCTCAGTGAGAACTGAGGCGACTCTGAACCACATTTCAATTTGATTTTGAGCGTGCAACCCTTTGAGAATCAACACAGTTATTGCCAACCATCAAAGCGAAAGAATGATGCACTTGAGCGAAAATTTGGTCGACGAGGTTCCTCGGTTCGTGAGAACTCTCTACGATATCTTGCACGACGAAGACCCCTGTATCATGTCGTGGTCGGTCGACGGCTCCCACTTTCAGGTCTTCGATGTACCCAGGCTTGAGCGCGAGATTCTTCCGAAGTACTTCAAGCACTGCAAGTTTGCGAGCTTCCAGCGGCAGCTTAACAACTTTGGGTTTCGCAAGTGGACGAAGACGCGTGCCAGCGTGTGCACCTTTAGTCACGAGTTTCTCCACCGATGTCATCCGTTTCAGCTTGCGGGGGTAGTAGCAGAGATGGAGCATCACAAGGCTGCTATGTGTGCTGCAGCTTCTCACATTGGTACGAAGCGTTTGAGAGAGGAAAGTGATACCGACGAGCGATTACTCCGCGTGGATTTGAAGAGGCTGCACACTGAGGACAGACACGACGACCAGCGTGAGCCTGAACACGAGATGGCTACATTCAGTCCCGAGAACTTCAATAGCAACTCATGGCCATTAGTGGACTTGTGCGCACTGGACTGGTCTCTGGTGACCGATACTGGTCGTGAAGACGAGCTTAACGCACTACTTGATCCAATACTAGCTGAGAACCAAGTGACGACGACAACTCGTGCACAGACTGAAAACAAGAGCGTCAACAGCAACCTCGCTTCAAACAAAACCAGCACCGAGACTGGGCTGGATGGGCTGCCTCCGCTAGACGTTGAATATCTGGGCGATTCATGGACTGACATTTTTGACGAAGTAGCTTTGTGAGTTGGCAATTCTTGCATTTGGTATGCAAAAGCGTTTTGTAATTTTAAATTTTGACTTAAATGAGAAGTAGGTATGGCATCTTGACCAAAGTCATAATTGTTCTCACAGGTCGAAAGGCGGCCTAACACACAAGAAGTATATTCACAGATCGTGTACAGAAGCCGGATATTCTCTGGATTTTATATCCAGAGTTTTAGGAGCTCCGAGAATTACTCTACTCAGATCCCAAACTTAGAGATGTTTTCAGTTGAAAATCTCAGTTAATTTAAGCACTTAAAATACCTGTTATTTAACATCTTCATTGTTAATTTTGCAATGTAGATCTCATTCTGTATAACAGGTATTTTAAATGGCAGAAATGACACACTGTGTAGGTTCAGAAAAAAACTCCGGGGTTTCTCTCTGAACCTACATAGTGCGTCATTTCTGCCTGCTAAATCAAATAGTTTGGATTTAAAAATCTTATATCGGCTTATATCCTTGGTACCTTTGATACCACCAACCAAGTGAATTTTGCATGTGGCGGCCAAGCGTAACATCACTGTAAATTACGACTAGCCGAAGTAATATATTCCGCCCCGAACAACTGAGGCTCAGTGACTGAGCCGATGACGCGGCTGCCACTGGAGCAGGCGCATCAGATGCCTACGGCATACCATACCGCCAATATCCTTCTTGTGTTCGCAATGCGCCTCCCACAGTGCAATCGCGTATGTACTGTTAGAACAAAGCATACAAAGGTAAATAGGAGAGCATGGGAACTATTAAAAATATCCTTGTAAAGCTTCTACAGAACAAATTAACAAGTACCTTACTGACTAAGGTACTTGTTAATTTGCTCAAAGTGCCAGAGTAACTTACTCTGGCACTTTGAGCATGTTAAGCCCTTTGTTCTCTATTCATTCCAGAGGTTTCTTACATTACGGAAAAGCCAATGGTGAAGCAACCGCCCTGCACATACAACCGGTATTGTAAATCCCGAGATTCTCCGCGTGAAGCACGCTTTGTCAGTATTTTAAAACTAGGAGACTCAGGAAAAAACGTAGCTAATTTATAGCTTTCAAGACGTAGGGGCCTGCCAGGAGCTCCAGACGATATTAACACTGCGAGTCGTGGCCCTCGACGGCCTTACTAGAATACAACTTCTCTTTTTCATTGAGAAATGCCACCACTGGAGGGCTATCCAGTGTTCAACTTCAACAAGGTCTCATTTCTTAACGGAATTTAAAGCCGTAAAGGACCTTTTTCAGCACTCATTTTTTGATACATTAGATAGTACGACTAACGGACACTACTATATACGCCACGACAAATATTACAAGAAACACAAAACATTCAGTGGCACAACCGCTCAATGCGCTGTGGAGCAATACGCAATCCGGCACTTCGATCGTGCTGTACGCGATGCACTTCTCCGTGAGACTTATACCCACTGCTGTGGCTGGTGCCAGAAGACGAAATTCTGGCCCGGATGACGCTTGAAGAACTGGATAGGCTCGACCTTGTCTTCCGCGTTGCGGTGGACATACATGGCGAGACAGCCTGGGTGAGTGTCGCGTCGAGAAGGCAAGAAGCCCACTGTTTTCTTGCGGTCGTACACACTTTGCAGGTAGAACTTGGAAGTCGACGTCACGGGTGTCCGGTCGGGAACACCTGTGATAATAAACTTGGCTCGCACGTCGATCTTGTTGCTGAACGTCAACTTCTTGGACATCTTCTGCATGCGCAGCACCGTGCCGTCGGTACGTGCGAGCGAGACGCAATCTCCACCTCGGAGCAGACCGTCAGTGGTGTGACCGATGATACGTAACGTATCGCAGTCCTCAAGCGAATCGTACGGTTGAATAGCGTAGCAGCGAACACGACGCGAGAAGGGGTTCTTGTGACCTCCACGTCGCTTGGGATGGCCTTGCACTTGGGTGATCTGGCCGGTCGTAGTCTTGAAGGCCAAGTGAAGCTCCTGTCTGTGGTACATTGGCACTGAAGGAGCTTCGTTGTTGTGTGGATGCGTTGCCGAAGCTGTAGAGGCGTCTGCTGCATCGGGGACGGTAGCCTTGCGAGGACGAATGACCTGGCTCAGCATACGCGGTGGCGAGCTGAGTCCGCGGATGTTGCGCGCTGACCCACCCACTCTCTTGGGCACGTCAGTGGTGCGGAAACGCGGCATGCGGCGATTGGGGTCACGCAGCGAGGCTTCAAAGTTGGCCACAGCCTGATCGCGCGTCTGACGGATACTGTCGATGTCCACCGAGTGGTTGGTTGGGTCCTCCCCATAGTCGTCTGTGGTGGCACTGCTGGCGTCGTCATCGTCAGCCTCGCTCTCTTCATCGTCACTGTGTTCAAATGCTAGTGGTGAGAGGCTCTTTTGCTGGTTTTGGTTATGTAGCAGCACGTCGCGTAGGTGCGATGGGATCGGGGGCGTCTCGTACTCCGTCGGCAGCATGTCGAGCGTAAGACCGGCCGGAATCGGTGGGGTTCCAGCCATCAGACTGGCCAAGTCGTCAAAGGTGGGGCGCGTGATCTCATCGCTGCCGTCCGTGTCCACATCCAGGAACGAGTTGGCCAAGTCCATTATCGGCGGCGGGGTTGTAAGCGGCGGAGGAGTATCCATCAGGTTGGGAGTCGAGGATGCACTGCTCGTGGAGGAGTCCGTCGCTTTGTTTGAGCTTGCGTCGTTAGACTGCTCTGTCCAGCGCATTGTCATGCGCGACAGCGGATTCAGAATATTCGAGAGGCGCACTGAAGTGGACATCGACGACGTCGTGTGTGCGCGGCGGCGCGACGACGGTATGGGGTCTTCTTCGCTGAGTACGGCGATATCAGCCGCGTCGTCCTCCTGCAACTCGTCCACATTGTCGAAGACAGCGGCAGCGTACGCTTTATAAGGCGGTACCGGTGGTGGCGCTCGGTTGAAGGATCCGGCCCGAAATGAGCCCAGACCTTCGCCGCCCACGGTTTGTCGACGCATCAGCGGAGGCGGGGACGTCTTAACGACGGCTGGGTGCACCGTCACCTTGCAGTACTTCGGGTCCATGCCCATGGTTGTCAGAATCGATAAGCTCGAGGTGGCTGGACAAGTCTTGAAGACACAACAGGCAGAGTCCTGCGTAGCACGCGGAAAGATGGAATGTAACTCGAGCGGTGTAGCTCGTTCAGCTGGATGGTGACAGAAGTGTCATGGAGCAGAGGCGAACACACCTAGTCGACACAGCAGCTTAGCATAAGTGCTCGACTCGGCTTCACTATTGTAAATTACAGGTGGCGTCTCGCGTGACGAGCGTACCCTGCCAGCTGGGATCCGCACAGCGGTCATGCACCTCGGGTAGAAGTTCCGCGGCCTTTACGAATATACGGGCGGTGTAACATCTTGGTGGCGCCGACGATAAGTTTCCGCTACGTCCACAATTGTCCTGGGATTTGCGTTCATAGTTCTCCAGCAGAGCCACGTAACCTGAACAGGATGGTCAGCTAGGAATGGCGACCAGACGCTACATTTTCGCGCCACCGGTTTGAAGATATCCGGATAGCCGCCTGCATGGGGTTCTTATCCTCCGCGTCTTGTCCAGATAAGTTCTTCGTGCATTTAATCTGAGCTATCGGCAACAACTCATTCACATTTCAATACTATTGACTCAAATGGGCCACCGACCTTGATAGTAGAGCAAGTTGAGCTATCGCTCGCCACTGAAGTGCCAACTTGGACTCGATGCCATGTATCTCGACCTTCGACTCTGTTCGCGGCAGGCTCACCCAGCAGCTCCACTGTAAGCCGAGCGCGTCCCGGTATCCTTGATGTGCCAGGCAAGGCCAAGCCGGATCATTTATTTTACCTGACCACAGTCGCGCCTCTGCGTCGAAGATGAATATCCATCCAACCGACCAACATTGATTATGATGTGGACTGAAATCGTACCGCTTGCCTCGGACAACGTGCGCCACTTCTCATGGATCAGGAGCCTTATGTGCCATTTGAGTAAACGCCCTCTCTGCTAAATGAAAACTATGCTCCAAAAATAAGAGAGTAAAGGCCTTCAAGGAACGCTCGCGACGATTGCCTCAATGAATGATCTTTTACGCGAAAGGTTAGAAGCTGGCTTCAAGTCGATCATATTGGTGTATTCCTTCTACAGGATCATCCACTCGTGCAGCGACTTCAATCCCACAAGGACTATACGCGGAAGCAACTTCGTCTTTTTCCTCTAGCTTTATAATGGTAATTTCTGCTAAAAACTATTTTGCGCTTCATTTAAACATTTCGGTTTCGCAATCAGACTCGTCGGAGATGGTCAACATATTTCACTAAATGTACTGGTCGTCAATAGCGACATTAAGAATGCGTGTACCTGTACTGTACTGTACATACCATGTACTGTAAACTTTTGGGAACCAGCACTGATTACCACAATCAGTGCTGGTTCCCAAAAGTTTACCACTGTATTGACTACACCAACAAGATGTTCATCCCCTATGACAACGCCATCCCCAAACACGCCGCCAAGTTCGTTCGCATCGTGCGCGGAGTAGCGACACACATTTCGGCCGACACAAATGAAGTGTCATACCATGCAATCGGTAGCAACGACAAGGAGAGCGAGGCGACGTCGAAGCTGAAGTTCGACTACCTGGTTTTGGCCACAGGTAGTTCGTACTCGGTGCCTATCAAACCCGACAGTCGTGACCACGCTCGCTCGGCGACGGAATTGAAGCTACAAGAAGTACGTGGCCACATTGAAAAAGCGGAGAGGATCTTGGTCGTCGGTGGAGGCGCCGTGGGTTGCGAGGTGGCTGCGGAGGTCATGGCGAAATATCCGAACAAGTCGGTGACGATCGTGGACGCGAACAAACAACTCATCGCAGGCAACAACCTACGCGATAAGTCTACTCGTATTTGAATGCTTCAATGGAGAAGCTTGGGGTGAAGGTGATTGTGGGCGAGCGGTTGACAGACCGTCTGACCGGAAACTGTTTCGAGACGCGCACTTTGCGTACCGACAAGGGAACAGAGATCACGTCGGATATCCAGCTTCTGTGCGGGGGTTTCAGTCCAGTGTCTACGCTGGTGCAAGAAATGAATCTATCTCTGGTGACGGATCGAGGATTCGTCAAAGTCAACGATAAGCTGCAGCTCGAAGACACCAAGTACGCGCACGTTTTTGCTTTGGGGGATATGTGCAACCACCCTACTCCAAAGATGGCTATCTGGGCGGGTGAGCAGGCCTCCTTTCTCGCTGGTGAACTGACCGCAGTGATCCGCGAGAAGCAGACAGGCTTCATCAATCCCTTCGCTGGAGTGGCGGTTGAAGCGATGATCCTTCCATTGGGCCCGTCGGGAGGAGTTTCGCAGCTACCGATGTTCGGAGGAATAGTTCTAAGGGACTGGTTCACGCGGCTGATCAAGTCCAGGGACTACTTGGCAGGTCGAATTTGGGCTAGTATCGGCACATCCGTTCCTATTAATAACTAGACTGGCTGGCATACTAACCGCAGAGAAGTAGTCTATTGCAGCTTTTAGCGTACTTAGAGGTCTTTCATAGCGAGACGCTCGCAGATTTTGACTGCTAGGCACATTTAAAAAGAAAAGAGAGGGGAGTAGTGTATTCATTTTAAGGCGTGAGGCGACTCGTTCAACGAAGCATACTCGTATCATATTCTTTCTGTGATCAAAGTAGCACCGCTCAGCTAAGGTCGGGCTCATTTGTGGGGCGTGGCACCGAGGCTGCCCCAGGTTCGTCCAGCCATGAAGTCCTTGGCCTTGATCATCCATGTCACCCAGTCACCGACAACAACACCACCCCAGACTGGTAGTTGAGAGACTCCGCCAGATCCCACTGAAGAATTACTGCCTCGGTCGTAACCTTAGGATACGGCTTGCTGAAGCCGTCCTGCTTCTTTTGCACAACGGCTGCGAGTTGCGCAGCGAGGAACTTGCCCTGGTCAGCGGCCCAGAACGCCATCTTGGGCGTCTCGTGGTTGCTGCTGTCTCCCAGCGCAAAGATATTTGCGTACTTTTCGTTGTCCAGCTGAAGCAGCTCGTTGACCTTGATCGAGCCTTGTTCCGTGATTAGAGACGGAACCATGGCTTTTACAAGGTCCAAAACGGGATGAAAACCACCACAGAGCAGCTGAATATCGGACTCGATCTCAGTGCCCTTGTCAGTACGGAGTGTACGTTTCTCGAACGAGTTGCCCGGAAAACGCTCTGTGAGACGCTCCCCGAGAATAACGTTCACCTTTATAGCGTCCAGCGCAGCGTGCAGCTTGGAGTAGAAGTTGTCGGACAGCTTGTTACGGGAGATGAGCTCACTGTGCGCCTCGAGGATCGTCACATTCTTCTCTGGGAACTTTGCCTTGATCTGACCGGCCATTTCGCAGCCAACTGCTCCACCGCCGACGATCAAGATCTTGGCCGCATTCTCAATCTCAGAGCGAACTTCTTGCAGCTTGGCTTCTGTAGTCTCACGTCTGTAGTCTTCCGGATCCTGCTTGATCGGAACCGTGTAGGTGCTGCCCGTGGCCAACACGAGGTAGTCAAAATTCAGCTTTTCCGTTTTGGTGTTCTTGTTATCATCGGCATTGATTGTCTGGAACGAGATCTCCTTTTTGTCAGGCGAGATTCCGATTGCCACGGCATGCTCGATGCGGACAAAACCCGACGAGGACTTCGGGATGGCATTATCGAACGGGACGAACATGTTCTTGGCGTAGTCGGGATCGACGCAGGCGCGAGCTGCACCCAGTGTATGGTAGAAATGACCGCTCTTTTCCAGCACCACAACTTCGGTGCTGTCCGCCTCGGTCAGCGTCTTGGCGAGATTCTGGGCGCAGTTGATGCCTGCTTGGCCCCCACCGACGATCACAATGCGCATCATTTTTTTGTCTTGATGAGGTGGCTGGAGGCTCGGCTGGTGGTCGTCTGGGTCGAAGTTCTCGAGAGGAGGTGGTTCATCCGTGAAGAAATGGATAATGGTCGATCAGTTCCGAGGTCACCGACAGTACTCGTGCAAAGGAGAAATCCAAGCCATAAAAGCGCAGCTTACGCACAGGGCGGTCGGAGTAAACTTAGATGTTGACGCCTGAGGGTTTATTTATCACTGACTGATAATCGACACAGCTCCCGAAAAAAGTAAATTTAATATTACAACTACTGTAATATAATTTAATAAAAGATATTTGAGACAACCCAAAACAAAATAATACGTATGAACCTAAGTACGAATCGCGATTTAAGCATTAAACGAAAGTGGGGCGTCTCCTCTATCTTTTGAGCCCTTATAAGCTACAGAATGCTTGAAACTGAAGAAGTTGTGGTCGCTCACAAATATTATCTTCATTAATGGGCCCTCGAAATGACGATACATTTTAGGAGTGTTGTGAGCTCAATATTTTTTCAATTTTAATAATTCAAGTGTTATTTTAAAGCTCTTGCTAACAGCAATTGAATAAGGGTAGTTTTATAGTTTTTTCGATTGAAGTTTACAATAAATGTCACTGTTTCGGCTAAGTGCGAAAATTAATTGGCCAATTTTAAGCTCGATTATCTCGATAACTTTAAATGGTTCGTAAGTATCATTTTGTTTGACATACCCTTTAAATTTTAAAGTTTTGGTCCGCTATTGTAACCAGGGCATCTCGAACTTTTAATAAGGACCAGTATTTATTAGTTGTAAATGAGGAGCTTTGTTTGTTCAGCTATTACTGCAGTAGTAATTGAAAAGGATGAGCTTAGTTTGTTAGCTACTACGTACTAATTGCTGGGAACTGTCGCGCCGATGCTAGCCCAGATTCGGCCTGCAAAATAGTCCCTCGACTTGAGCAACCACGTGAACCAGTCACCGACCACAACGCCGCCCCAAAAAGGTAGCTGCGAAACTCCACCGCGCGGACCTAGAGGCAGAATCATCGCGGGTACGGCTGGAGTATCGAATGGCTTCATAAATTCTGTTTGTTTCTTTTGAATCACCGCCGCCAGCTCGCCAGCCAGAAATTTCCCTTGCTCACCAGCGATGAATGCCATTTTTGGTGCTGGATGGTTGCACACGTCACCCAGAGCAAAAATGTGAGCGTATTTCTCACCCTCCAGCTGCAAATTGTCGTTCACCTTGACAGATCCACGCTCGGTCACCAGCGACGCATCCATCTCTTTCACCAACGCGGCCACGGGGCTGAATCCGCCACAAAGAAGCTGGATATCCGACGTGATCTCCGTGCCCTGATCAGTGCGCAATGTCCGCGTCTCGAAGCCGTTGCTGCTCAGACGTTCTGTCAAACGCTCGCCCACAATCACCTTCACCCCAAGCTTCTCCATTGAAGCATTCAAATACGAGTAGAACTTATCGCGAAGGTTGTTGCCTGCGATGAGCTGTTTGTTCGCGTCCACGATCGTCACCGACTTTTTCGGGTATTTCGACTTGATCTCCGCAGCCACCTCGCAACCCACGGCACCTCCACCGACGACCAAGATCCTCTCCGCTTTTTCAATGTGGCCACGTACTTCTTGTAGCTTTGCCTCTGTCGCCGAGCGAGCGTGGTCACGACTGTCGGGTTTGATAGGCACCGAGTACGAACTACCTGTGGCCAAAACCAGGTAGTCGAACTTCAACTTCGACGTCGCCTCACTCTCCTTGTCGTTGCTATCGATTGCGTGGTATGACACTTCATTTGTGTCGGCCGAAATGTGTGTCGCTACTCCGCGCACGATGCGAACGAACTTGGCGGCGTGTTTGGGGATGGCGTTGTCATAGGGGATAAACATCTTGTTGGTGTAGTCGGCATCCACATAGGCTCGTGGGGCACCGACAACGTGATAGAAGTGGGCGTTCTTCTCAAGCACGACGACCTCTGCGTCATCATCCTCCGTGAGGTTCTTGGCCAGCGCCTGCGCGGTGTTGATTCCTGCTGCGCCTCCACCGACGATTACTACGCGGGTCATCGTTTTGCCTTTGATCTGGTTGGGAACCGGACTGTTGTGATGTAGGCAGCAGCTTTAGTTGTGAGCCCTAAGGAGTTACGGTCGAGGCTTGGTACACTGTACCGGAAAAGGTATTAATACCTGTACGCACGCAAACCCTTTCGTAGTAATCCCTGCTCTTGGACGACAGAAATAAATTATCCAGAAGTACATGTATAGCGGCATACAAACCCCTCTTCATCCTGGTATGGTCTGATTCAGAGCTTATTAATACCAGGAGTAAGCAACGACCTTCACGCCAATATAGCGACGCAATGCCATTTGCTGATGAGCATCACGTCACAGATGATCTTAGCTTTTTTTAAAAGTTTAGTACTATACAGTTACTATACTGTGACAGTATAGTATACTGTAGGCTCCTTCAAAAGTACGACAGTATTGCGTTATTTTTAAGCGAAATGAGATTGAATAGCATTACAAAGATATGACGACCGCGCCGAAGTTTTTCCAAGCCATGCCGGCAAAGTAGTCCTTGGACTTGATAGACTTGGTGATGAGGTTGCCCATGACCACGCCGCCCATGACAGGCAGCTGTGACACTCCCCCGTTCGGGCCCAGCGGCACCATAGTGCCCACTACCTCTACCTTGGGAAATGGCTTGCTCACGTTAGCCTGCGTCTTGCGCGCCACCAGCGCCAGCTCAGCGCCCAGGTGCTTACCCTGTAGACCAGCGTAGTACATGCGCTTGGGCGCCGGACTGTTGCTCGCGTCGCCCAGCGCGTAGATGTTGGAATACTGGTTGTCGTCCAGCTGCAGTTTGCTGTTCACCTTGATGAATCCCTCGGCAGTGACCAGATTCGCGTCCAGCTTCTGGATCAGCTCCGTCGTGGGACTGAAGCCGCCACACAGTAGCTGCACGTCCGATTCGATCTCCGTACCCTTGTTCGTACGCAGTGTGCGCTTCTCGAAGCTGTTGCCTGACAGACGTTCCGTCAGACGCTCACCCACCACCACCTTGACACCAAGACGCTTGAGGTACGTCGACAGCTTAGTGCGGAACTTGTCACGCACGTCGTCGTTGGCTACCAGCTTGTCCTTTCCTTCGAGGATCGTCACTGTTTTGTTCGGGTATTTGGCCTTGATCTCGCCGGCTACTTCGACACCCACGGCACCACCACCAACAATGAGCACGCTGCTGGCGGCCTTGACCTGCTCGCGCACCTCGGCCAGCTTGTCCTCCGTGGTGAATCGCTTGAAGTTGTTCTTGGGTTGCTTGATGGGCACTGTGTACGTGCTGCCCGTGGCCACGACCAAGTAGTCGTACGGCATGCTCTTAACGGGTCCTGCCAGCATGTCACCGTCCTCGCCGATGGGTGCGTACTCGATCTCATCGGCGCCCGGAACGATGCGCGTCACGACGGTGCGCTGGATCTTGACGAAATCCTTGGCTGACGGCGGAATCACGCTGTCGTACGGTACAAAGAGCTTCTTCGTGTAGTCTGCGTCCACAACAGCACGCGGCGTGCCCACAGCGTGGTAGTAATACTTGCTCTTCTCCAGGACGACGACTTCGGTGTCATCCTTGGGCGTGAGATCGGCCGCCAGGGCCTGGGCCACGGCGATACCTGCAGGGCCTCCACCGACGATGAGAATGCGAGGCATGTTGAGATGTTCGGAATAGGCTTGGTAGGCTGCTGCTGTTGTCGATGCACTTGTAGCGCGTCGAGAGGTTTGGAGAATGGGGTCCAGCTTTGGCGCGGTGTACGAGCACGCATCAAGCGTTTGCCTGGTGTATGAACGCGATCAGCGCAAAAACGGGCAAGTCGGAGCGTATCGCATGCCAAAAGTGGATTTCAGCCAATCGTCATGAAAAAAATAGATCTGAGCCAATCCACACGGGGGATTTCCGACACGTCACTGGCAAAACCTACGCAATCGCAGATCCGTAAACAAAGCAGCATTTTCCGCTACCGGTATCACACAGTGGTAATCATCATTACCGTTCCATTATTGTACAGAACACGTAATTAACATGATCGGTGTAGTGTTGTTACTGTAAAACCTAAGTTAGTGTACACTACAAGGGGGCGCTATTAGAGGGGGAGGGTCTGTTAAAGTGTGGGGTACAGTACTAGCGAAGAGTAAATAAAACCATGTCAAGGTGTGAGTCGTGCTGATTGTTGGTTATCCTAGAATAATATTGTCAATTCAGTCCAAAATTGCCGATGCGGGGCGTGTCGAAGAAATGCAGCAATCCACAACATATCGGCACGACGATAAGAGTGGTTAAAATTGCGAGAATAGATTATTGCGACCAATAGTATACATTCTCCACAGAAGTGAGTGCGCACATCACAACGCGCCATGGAGGAAGCTGTAACGCGGCAACATGCCCACACCAACACTGCCTGTACGCATACTACAAGATAGGGTACTCGCGAAAGCACCTCGCGCACATCTTCAACAAGTCGGAGCGCACGATCCGTAACTGGGTCAAGCTCTATGAGACGACCGGGGCATTTCAGCGATTGACCGCCGTCACCAAGCGACAATGCACGAACGATCAGCGTCAATGGCTGCTCGACTACTACCGGGAGCACCCTCTCGCGTATCTGGATGAAGCCCAAGATGTCTTTAGGCGAGTACATCACGCGGATTTCTCCAAAACGACCGTTTAAAGGATAATTCACGAAAGTGGTCTTACCTGGAAGGTTTTAGAACGCCGCGCCATGCACATCAAGGAGCGTGACGTGTTTCGTTTCGTGGAGGAGCTGAGCCACCTCAACTGGAGCCACCATAACATTGTGTTTTTGGATGAGGTTAGCTTTGACAACCGAGGAAGAATCCGCAAGCGAGGATACGCTCTCCATGGAAAAATGCTTGCTATTCGGGGTGATTTTCAGCGTAAGCTACGGGTTTCAATCTTAGCGTTTCTTGGGGGTAAATGAAGTGCTAGACAACTTCAACACGGACGGCACATTTGATCGTGTGGAGCTCACAAAATGCTGCCAAGACTTCGTGCACTGTCCAGGTGGACCTGTTCGTCAATACCCCGGGCCAAACTCTGTCGGGATTCTTGATCGCGCTACCGTTCACAGTCACCTAGAGATAATTCACTACCTTCGAAGCGTTGGAGTCGTTCCAATTTGCTTTCCAGCCTATTGCCCGCTTTACAATCCCATTTTAATTTTTGTTTGGTTAAGTGAAGCGCGCATTCCAGCGTCACTACCTCGAGTCAAATGGTCGCGATATTTTGTCTTTTGTTGCCCAGACATTCCGCAGGTATCCAAAGTACAATATGAGCAAGGTTCTCCAGCACTGTGGATGGAAGATCCAAGGATAATAATTGATCATGTTGGACTCTTTCAGCTCGGAGACGGAGGAGCAAGATCACGCAGCATGCTTTCGATGATAGCTTCTCGCGTCACCAACCGCTGCTCTTGAACGTCGAGATGGCGTCCAGCAGCTTCCAGGTAGCTCCGTAACGCATGACAGTCAGCGATAGAAGCTCTCACGCAATCTAAAGCAAAACTTGCTGATTGAGCCACGTTCGATAAATGCTGGTCAAGACGTGACTCAGCTGGATTCAGAAAGTTGGTGATGTAGTTGGGTGGTGGATTGGCAATGTCTTCATTCCATGTCGAGCGGTTCAGATTTCTCGTAATGTGGTTTGCCCACATACGCCAGATGACAGCTGAAGCTTGAAAAGTACTTTCCTACATACGCCGAAGCGCAGCCACAATCTCTCGCAGCGAGCCCTCCGGTGCCGCGCTAGCACAATCCGTTTACTCTGGCAGAATGCAAGCCTTCATGAAGTCTTCTCGATCTTTAGCCGTCACAACAGCCATGGCGTGTTCGTAAAGCATCAGAGTCACAGTTGTTCCACGATTTACCGCAGGTCACTGGTTCCAAGCTTGCAACGATCTGGTCGAGTATACCACGCGCTTTTTTTTTAACATGCATCAACTTATGCCACTCTTCAAACTGAGGGGGGCTCAACATTCCAGACACCGTCCGTCTTTACAGCCTGCCTCTTCACGTGCGAAGAAAGCCTTTCCCATATAGCCTTCATGATACCATCGAACGAACGACCAGTGAACCCTTCATCACGTTGACTTTCTCCGGGCGTATCTCGCTGGTTGATCGAAGTCCTCACGATCGACCGCACACGTAGCTGGAAAAGATTATCAGGCGTTGTCGTAACTGCAGACTCAGCTGCAGGAGTACTTTGAATAACCAAGTTGCTTGCAGAACTCGTATTACCCATTGCTAAAGCAGGAACAGCCGCTGCGTCTACCGCTTGAATAGCTGAAGGAAACACCTTATCACTTGTTTGCTCTTCTTCGCTCGTTGGAGTCTGCTCTAAATGAAGAAAAGGGATACTCTCTCGTGGCAAGCGATTGCTGACAACGTATGGCGACGTGCGTGCATGAGTACGTCGAAGCGGCGTTTCGCAGTGCCGTCGCTGAGGTGATGCCTTCAGTGCGCGCGGGTGCCATGGTGAGTGCGGCGCTTTTAAAGTGTGCTGGTCTCTGAAACCTGAGGTTTATTTTGTGAGACAGGTTTTACGCGCATTCGGCCGAGCGTGTCGCCCAGACGATCGCTGAAATTTCGAATAGAACGCACAATAGTGCTTCAGAATGAAGTACGTACAGAAGTAAAATGTGTGTCGTACACCACGCACAGGTGCACATTACCGGTACTTAGTTAGACAGCTAATAAAAATAAAGGTTTCCATTAGATGATCATAGGTATCAAGCTTTGCCCTAATAGTCCAGAATAGTTTGGCTCAATCAGTATAAACGTCTAACGATTTTCCAAGGGTATTTTTGAAACAGGGTTGGAGGAAGAGTTTAGTATTACATTGGCCAAACAACTCGCTCATGCTGAATTCGCTCGGCGATCTCGGAGGTAGGACACGAAGCCGGACGCTTAGCTCACAAAACATGAATAGAGGAAGGTAGAATTAGTTTGCAAACAGCACGCTAAGACCAGGCAGTCGCCGGTAATTGACATTGAAGTAAGGATATTACTTTTGTATTTGAAATGACAGATCGTTAGTTCCCGGTTAAGGCTGGACGTTTACCTTGCGTAGCATAAAATTATTGAGCCTTTCATAGCAGATTCACGTCACGTTTTACTACTGGTACAGGATTGGCATTCCCTCAAATGCTGTATTACTCTACCAAGCTGAACATTTATCTCGAAGCGCTACCAGCCCAATCCTCTGTCTGTTGCTCGTTAAACATTGTCTACTAGGGTGGGGTACTACTAAAGGGTGGAATGCTATAGCAGGGTAGCAGGGAAGGGCACCAGATGTCAGCGTTTTTGGGGATGGGGTACTATTGACGGGAGGGGCACTAACACAGGTTTTTCAATAAGTCTGGTAATAAATTTCTTATATTATTAAGTAAAAATTGGTTGATAGCTTTAATAATTACATTTTACTTTTTTTACGTGAGCATTGTAAAAATGAACATTCTTGAATTGGGCCTGCTTTGGATCTTCACCATTCAATACCTAGCTGGAAAACGCAAACCAGTTCTTCATACATCCCGAACATCACATAATAATCGCCACTCTTTGTGGTTGTTGTTCGTCCCCCAGCAAAACCCGGTGGCCCCCTGGCGAGCTTAGTGCACTCTTCGCACGTACTGGCGGCAAGGCAAACTCTGCCCTCTTTTGGACTGTGTCAACCGCTGTCAGCAGCACTATATCGACCACAGTGGACGCGCAGCAGATCAGATTCGGAGTGCCGAGATTACTGGGAAAGGCACTTGAGCCAGTGTGTGTAACTACAAAGGCGAACACGTTGAATCAAAGTGCCCTAGCGACGAATCTTCATTGATATCGAATAAGAAGCCAGAACCTGGGGCGGTATTTACTGCTGCAGAGCGCCAAACATCGTGAAAGCTCCTTTTGGAGTTTTCAGTCGAGGTGCTGTCCCCCGACTCCTTTGTCGAGCTCCCGTCTGCTCTTCTGTGGCTGAACATAGAGTGCAAAGGAGCGGGACCTCGTCAACATGGCCTTGGAAAGGATGTACTAGATCAGTACGCAGAGCTTTATGCCGGTGAGTAGTGCAAAGCCTTGGCATTGATTCAGCGGATTTCGGGAGGGCGTGTAAATTGTTTACGGGACGCATTTTATAATATTGCAAAACAACATGTTTGGGCTGTCAACTTTCACTTTTCTGAACTGTTATGATCTACGCGCCACTACCCTCTAGATCTGAGCATCACGCACTGGGGATTGCAATACAACTCGAAGATATCTTGGTGAAACTACGGGATGGTGGATGGAGGGCTGTCATTATTGTAACGAGCAACGCAGATCAATGCAGTCGAGCGAGGAGAGTTGTTGCCTTACGGTGGTCTAGAATTGTTTACGCTGATTCGCTCATGATAGTACCAACTTTGTTAATACAGTGCTAAAGCGGATTTTTAAAGTTGTTTCAGAGCAAGCAGCAGCTACAGTAGGCCACAGGCTAAAAAAGTGAATTTTTCGTCAGTTATGTGCATGTACCTTATATAGCAGTATTTGTTCACGATACAACGCTATCTGGCGCAAACAATACAGTTTCAAATTTAAAACGCCATAATAATTCTAAGCTGCGATATTTTCGCATATAGCTCTATCACTTTTAATATAACTAGGCTGCAGCTGTAATATTCAAGTATACATAACAGCGTGGTATCATTTTCAAAAATATGTATCTGAAGCTAGTGCGACATCGTATTATCTATAATATATCTGGTTTTCGCGAAATCCTGGCCATTTAATTTGGAAAAAAATCAAAGCACAGAGAGGAAGTTCAGATTCACTTGTCAATTACCAAGATGCCCAGTACAGCCGGCCAAGTGTTCGACCGCCTCAACCGACAGTGGGAGGACGAGACCTCCAACCTCGTTGTTAGCCACGAGAACTATGGCGATGTCGCTCGCCATATAGAGGAAGAAGCCTCCGATTCTGGCTCACCTATTCTGTCTGAGTATATTGCGGCAGGTGGTG